TGTGTGTGTTTTCTGTGCTGCAGATATTTACCGCGCTGCCTCCGTTTACGTTGGGGATTTTTGACCGGCCGTGCAGCCAGCAGAACATGCTCCGATTCCCGCAGCTCTACAGAATCACCCAGAATGCCGAGGGTTTCAACACCAAGGTGCACACACACACACACAGACACACACACACACACACATCTGAAATCCCTGTCAGTTTTGTCCTCTGCCTTCAACTCCCGTCTGTTTGGGTCTGGATGAGTGATGCCGGCTGTTTTTATGTGGGACTCCAGTGAGCGAACCAGAAGATTGGCATTTTCCATGACAACACTTAATAAAATTCACAGCCCCCGAATAAGAAAGTCTTTCATTTTAAGTGTGTGTGTGTGTGTGTGTGTGTGTGTGTGTGCGTGTGCATGCGTGCGTGTGCTGACGTGTGTGTGTGTGTGTGTGTGTAACTTCACAGGAGGGAACTTCTGGGGAGAAGTTGTCTGTTACTTTGAGGAAATTGCTGTTTTTGTTTGTTTTTATGCGCTCTGGCATAATGCACTGACTTGTTTTCCACTCCTCCACCGCCCCTCCCTCCTCCTCTGCTTTTTTTTTTCTGTATCCTCCAGGTGTTTTGGGGCCACTGTATCAATGCACTTATTCATTCAATTATTCTCTTCTGGTTTCCTTTAAAGATGTTGGAGCACGGTAAGTGATTTTAGCTCATTATTTCTTAATTACTGTGAATTTTGATTCAGAATTCACACAGTTGTTTCCTGGTAATAGTTTCTTCTGTACTTTTTTTTTTTTTGCAGTCGGTCTACATGCACATATTTTGCTATTTATAACCTATGCTATGCTATGTTAATTATTAAAAATCATTACATAAAAAAATCAGTCCGACATTTTTCATRGACCTGTTGGCTATAACTTTGGCTAAAAGTTAAAAGCAACGTGTTGATAATGTTAGCGTTTAGCTACAGTTTTGCTAATTGTAGCTTTTCTTAAGCTTTGCTTATTTGACCTTTCAAATATGGGTTTGCTTGTTTTTGCTTTCTACTAATGTTTTGCTTATTTTAGCTTTTAGATATACTGTATAGTTGCTACATTTTGTTTTAGCTTCTGTTTCGCTAATTTTAAACTTTGCATATTTTGCGACGTTTAGCTTTTAGATATGCTTTAGCCTCATTTTTGCTTTTAGCTTCAGTTTAGCTACATGTAGCATTTGTTGTAACTATTGTGTTCATTTTTGTTTATGTTTACGAATTTTTTAAAGCTACGGTTTTGCTATTATCTTTCAGCTAAACTTTGCTCATTTTTTTAGCTGCTGATTTCCTACATTTAGTTTTTAGTAACTTCTAATCTAGTTTTAGTAAATTGTAATCTAGTTACGTTTTGTAAATTTTAGCWGTTAGCTACTGTTTTGTTTTTAGCTTCTGCTTTGCTTGTTTGAACTTTAACAATTCATTCTTTTACATATTTCATTAAGTCATTCACATTCAGACTGCACTGTTACAGAAAAAGTGACGTTTTCAGTTTTCACTGACTTGTTAGTCATGAAGTTTTGTCTGTGGTCCTCAGACTCTCCTTTCAGTAACGGTCAGGGAAACGACTACCTGTTTGCAGGAAATATGGTCTACACGGTAAGTTTCCTTCTCCTTACCTGCAGATTTGTTTTGAGTCTGCAGTCGGGCTTGTCTCGTCTTCTCTTCACACTCGTCTGTTCTCTCCTCTATCTGACCCTCCTGCTCTCACTTTCCCTACAGTCTCATGAGAATCTTTGTGGTATTTATTTGTTTTGTTGTGGGGGTCTGGGTGTGTTTTTATCAGCCATTGCAGAGTTTACTGTAAAACCTTTATGTTTATTAGTTCCACAGTTGCCAGCAAGCTAATCTGGTGTTTCTGTTTGTTCTTCTGTTTGTGTGTTTTACTTGTTTGTGTGCAGTATGTGGTGGTTACAGTGTGTCTAAAAGCTGGAATGGAGACCACCGCTTGGACCAGGGTAGGAGCATTAACTCGCTCTTAATAAACCGAGCCACATGTGCCATATTTTACCCAGTTGTTCAGTGAAAGTAGTCAGGACAAGAGAGGGAAAAGATGTGTATTTAGATCTTTTACAGTGGATATCTGAGGTTTTCTTCCATCTATTACACTCGTCTTCGCCWGTTTATAATATTTCAAATATCTGAAAGTAAAAATTAACAAAATAGTTGAAATATACCAAAGGACTTTTACTATTAACCAGCTGCATGAACTGCTAACTGTCCCTTTAGAGAATAATCTTACAAGGAATGAATGGACGCTGTCGTTCAGACGGAGCAGAGCAAAAGAGGAAACCAGACCTGAAAAAGAGGACGTTTCCRTCTGTTGGATTGATATTAAATACAGAAACATCAGAGCAAAACAGATGGAATTTAACGTTGTTAACTGAGAACCCAGATGTTTTTATTCCTCACAGAAAATGTTTCATTCAAATCATAAATCTTTTCGTCTCCTCTGTGTGGTTTTAGTAAAATTATAGTAAATATCAGATGATTAATAGAATTAGGTTGATAATCACTCAGTTACTTTAGTCATTTTTTCCCCCAAGCAGGATTTGTGCTGTTTTAATTTTTATTAATGAAAAAARACTTGAAACTGTTTGTTACAATCATTATTCACTTTTTTTTTTTTGGTCAGATTAAAGTTGCATTTTGCTTCACATAAACTAAGTGAACTCTATCAAATTTACACCGTAAAGAAAAAAGAGCCTGTTTGGTTTATTAAAAATGAGACACACTGCTGTTGGGAAAAAATATTAGTTTACTTGGCTGACAAAGTTGTTGGGATGAAGTTTTATAATAAGAAAAAGAGATTGAAATTGTTTTAATAGCCTTTTAGCTAACTGTAAGTCATTTTTTATCATCTTTATTCTGTGTTTGTAGCAGATTGAGTCAGAGAAGGTTGAAGCAATTTGTTGAATTCTTAAAAAATGTGTTCAACAAACTAAAGAATTAAAGTTTTCATACTTAGCGAAGGAATTTTTTTTTGCAAATTCAGAAAATCTTCATGTCTAGAGGGCTTCAGTGTTTATTTTAGTGCTTTGTGTGGCTAATGAGCAACATTTTGAAACATGAATATGTTATGTTAACTGTTAGACTAAAATAWCTTTATTGTTGTCATATTGGAGACGAAGCCTCATTTTCAAACTAGCAGGCAAATAATTTCTTGTATAGAGTGTAAGAATTTACTCAAATAAGACAAACAACCGGAGCRAAGTCTTGAGAGAAAACTAACCGTGAGGAATCGAATCAACGAATCACCAAACATCTGACTAAACACGAGGTCTCTCAGTCCTGAAACAACCCCAGCAGAAGTGAACGCAGAGTTTAGGAAAGCAGCGGCTCGAGTCGTGACGGTGACTTTGTTTGGTTTATTCTCGCCCGTTGGAGTGACAGAGAGCGGCAGCATAGACAGACAGGCGCTGACACCTCTGTCCGCTCAGCTGTCCACACAACAGCCTGGCAGTAATGAAGTGAGGTCTCAGAGGAATTCACACAGTGTCGCCTTACAGCACATCACAGACGACGGGGGCAAGAAGGGAGGGCGAGGTTGGCTAAATTTGGATGAGATGTATGTAAAATATTTGACTTCATATCACTCTTTTTTTTTACCTCCCTCCTTTCTATAATCTCCCTTTTGTTCTTTTATTCCTCCGCAGTTTTCCCACCTGGCCGTGTGGGGGAGCATGGTGCTCTGGATGCTCTTCTTCGCCGTCTACTCCGCCATTTGGCCCACCATCCCGATCGCCCCCGACATGCTGGGCCAGGCAAGTTGCTCTCCRTAAATACTCGTCATTCGTTATAATAACGAGGGGGGGTTGTCATTGATGTGGGCCTGCCCTGCATGGCGTCTGAGACTCACCTCTTGGGAGTTCTGTCGGGGGGGGTGGGAGCCCTTCTCAGCAGGCCGCCCGCACCTGCTGCGTGTCCCCCGCACCTCAGACTCTTACTGCCCTCTGTGGAGGTGTTGACTCAGGAGGGTGGGCTGCTTGTGGCCGTGATGAAGGTCCAGAGGGGGGAGAGTCTTCATAGGACCTCTTAATTGCGAGTGTTCAGGGATAAAGCCCAGGGAGGTGGGGGGTTAGAGGAAAGGAATCAAGCCGTCTCAACTGCCCCCCCCTCACCCCACACCCATTAATTCAATTTGTGTCAGAAATCAGGAATGCGGTCAAATATCTGTGCAGCTGCTCATTCTAACTAAGGAACAGTCGAGGACACTCAGCCACTGCCCCCCACAATACTCCCCCCTTATTTCCCCTCTGACTAGTTGATTTTTACATATATTGGGGGGAAACTGGTTAGAAAACAGCCTAATTCCTGTCAAAATAACATGTTTAGTTCAGAATCAGTTCTCCCTGCAGCMTGTTAAAGAGTGAACTGTATGTCTCTTCCTCTTGTAGGCGTTATCATTGTTGTCATTTATTACTTTCTCAGATTGCAAACACAAGAAGCTCATGTTCCTGCAGTGAAGGAGTGCTKCAGTGATTTGTGACTTAAATTAAAGCTTTTAGCCTCATTGGAAGACAATTGTCTCATTAGCATAAGAGACCTGTTGTACAGAAATAAAACAGTGAAATCAATAAAACACATTAATACAAAATAAACACAACAAAAACACATTGAAACAAATTCAAGCAAAATCTAACCTAACTTTAAAAGTAAACAAAATCGCAACAACTCAAACAGGAGCGAGTGTTTATGGATGTGATCTCCAGTCCTTTCATTCAAAGTCTCTTGATGGTAACAAGACCGGACAGAGGAGTTCTGTACGCACTCATGGATCGCTGTTGGTGATGATAAAAATATTAAAAAAAGAGTAGAGAATGTGCATTTCCTGTGAAAATGCAGTGTGASTGCTTAYTGAAAGATTTTTACTGAAAGTTGCTTAAACTAAGTCACGTAAAAAGTAGCTAAAATGATCAAAAAGAAGCTAAAAGTAGCAGACAGAAGGTACAGGGGAGAGAAAAACATTTAAAGGGGCAGAAAAACAAGAAAATTAGTATTAAAATTGTTGTAAAGTAGCTAAACCAGCTGAAATTAAGTGAAAAAAGCAAAATATAAATGCTGAAAAATCAGAAACTAACACGAAGAAGCAGAAAAAAAGCAGTAAAAAGCTGAAATGATCACAAAAGGAGAATTTAGGTGCTATAAAGCTAAAACTAGCTAAAAGACAGTAGCAAACAAAGCAGAAGAAGGCTGAAATTACCAGAAAGCAACTGAAAGGAGCACAAAAAATATATAGAGGGAGCACAAACCAGTTGAAATTAGCAGAGGAATAGCTGAAAGGAGCAGAATGATTTGCTGAAAAAGCAGAAAAATGAACCAAAAAGAAGCAGAACTAGAACAAAGGTATCAAATTACAATAAAAATTTAGAAACATTTTGAAGTGTTTTAATGATTTTGAAGATACCTCCATTCATTTTTAATGGGAAAAAAGGCAGAAAAAGTTAAAGATTATAAATTGTTGAAATACCAAAAGTGATAGCTGGAATGTCCTGAAAGAACTGAACATTTTGATRCATAAAYTGTTGAAATGGCACAAAAATTGCAAAAAGGCTTGGATGCCAAAAAGCCTACAGAAGACAAATGTATCATGTCAGTAATGTGAATGCTTTATTATCGTTGTCACAAAAATGGTGTCGGACTAAGGGTAACAGGCGAGGACAAGCAGCAGAGGCAGCCGTCACTAACGATGAACAAGGGTTGTGAAAGAGCGAGCTTGAAGGGAATCCCAGGAGAAAGACGAGTGGGAGGAAGAGGCMGAGGGAGGTGGACGGTGGAGACAGCGGTTGGATGCATGATTAATCTCAGGAGACAGACAGAGAGCCGGGTCAAAGGTCAGTGAGGCAGGTTGCTGCTGGACTTGTAGGGGGGATTTCTAGTTAGTCACCAGCATTTTGATCAGATCGCTCCATAGAAAGGCTGTTTCAGTTGATGGAATTCTGTCATACAGTCTGTGAGAGAGCTGTAAAATATGTTGAACTAAGATTAGGAGTGTTCAGCTCACTCCTTAAACTCCCGTATGGTTTTTACTTTGAATCTTTGTTAGTATGATTCAAAGCTGAGGCAGAATGACTTAATCCTAAATTAGATTTAATATAAGAGTGAAAACAGACGGAGCCTGTGTGTTGTCATCGCAGGCTGGCAGGGTGATGCAGTGCTGGTACTTCTGGTTGGGTCTGGTTCTGGTGCCCACCGCATGTTTACTCAAAGATTTCGCATGGACGGCGTAAGTAGAGCACATTTAATATAAATACATTTTGAAATCCATACAGACGCTGTTTAACTTAACCCGATTGTTTACATAACCCGCACCGAGTCTGTGTCAACACTTACCGCACTGCCTGTTATGAGCTGCACGTGTCCGCAAAGTCACACACTCAGACTTTCCGCCACGAGGCCCTGACCGGCTCCCTTCTGCTCCCCCAGCGCCCGTCGCACGGTGAGGAAGTCTCTGCTGGAGGAGGTGCAGGAGCTGGAGGCGCGGGCCGTCGACCCGGGGGCCGCGGTGCTCAGGGACTCCAGCGGTCGCAGGTGCAGTATTCAAAAACCACAAAGGATCATCCTTATTTGTTTTTATTATTATTATTATTATTATTATTATTATTATTATTATTATTATTTTATCACAACACACCTTGTTCCTTGTTTTGATTTAATTCTCTGTCCACTCAGCTGCACTGATTTAAAATTTCAGTTCTGAATCTGTAAAACTTCTCTAGTTTCAGTTAAATTTTAGAAACTTATAGTGTACTTGTACAAAGAATGTTATGTATTCAGTTAGCACTTGAAATGTGTGTTGCAGATGACTGTCAGCTACTACCACATCAGATTTTAGATCAGTATCTGTAAAACTGACTGAGTTATAACTAGGGATGGGTACYGAAATCRATACTTTTATACGTACCAGCCGAATCCTGTCKGTACCACCGAGAACCTRTTCACGYAACATCAAACTGTACCATGTTTTGGTACCTAAACGCATCATTGCGACCGTATTGGTTTAAGAGTGATGGATTTTCCATGCTTGTCCTGAATGCAGCATCGCACAAGAGTATAATGACGTCAGCAGCTGCTGGTTCAGTAAACAGAGTTTAAAAAGAAAAAAAATTGTATAGGTCTTCTGGACGGGTTCTTCTCTAATGAAACGTTTCGTCTCTTTTCCAAGAGACTTCTTCAGTCTGAGAGTGATACTGGCAATAGCAGCACTGTAGGAGGGGGACAACTGAAAACGGAGGCCTCCACCCTCCTACAGTGCTGCTATTGCCAGTATCACTCTCAGACTGAAGAAGTCTCTTGGAAAAGAGACGAAACGTTTCATTAGAGAAGAACCCGTCCAGAAGACCTATACAATTTTTTTTC